ATCTTGAACATTTTTTAGTATTTATGTATAGGGTTGTTTTTATAGTCTGATTTTAATTGATGAATTAATGTTAACTATTTATATGGTATCATTTTTTAATGGTTCTTAGGTCTTTGGTTTTAACTGTGAGACACCCAGAGTCACCCATTGGGGGAGATGGCGGCATACAAATTTAATAAATAAATAAATATGATCCATTTTTGGATTTACATACAATTTTAGTATATAGAAATACAACATCTAAGATAATGGTTATGTGTCGATACACAATGCGCTGTGTAAGTATTATTCCATGACTGTTAATTTTAATACTATATTCTATGCAATTGGTTAAGAATTGAACAAAACCAATCATAGATTGGGTTTGGCAGAGATATTTGCTACATTGGAGGAACTGCCTCCCATAAAATTCTTTTGTTGGAAGATGTTTGTCTGGATCAAGCCCGATATCCAAGTAGCATGTTGAATTAACGTACTTGCAGCACTATCCTGTATATTCAGATGTAAGTCCTTCTGATTAGAATGGGGTATTGCTAAGTAAATGTAAGTAGGATACAGATATTAGACTTTTCTTACTAAAATATAATTATACAAAAATCAGTGAAATTATCATTTGAAGCTATTTCAGTGTCAATAATTAAATTTCTTTAGGTTAAGTAGTATAAGAATCATCAGCTAAAAGAAACTGAGAAATTGCATAGATAATTATTTTACTTGAAACTTGACACAAATCCCCATGTTTCCCTATTCTTTTTCATCCTAGATGATTTCTACAGTTTATTGAGAATAAAGGATATACTATCAAGTTGGGACTCTTTATTAGAAAATATCAGGATATTTGTTTTATAAATAAATAATAACCATAAAATAATGATCTTGAGATGATGATCTACTAGAATAGATGCATGTTCTATTACTTTTTGTTTCCATTGGAGGACTTGATGATTCACTGAAGTATTTGTTTAAAGAAATGCTGTTGAGTTATGTAACAGAATGTTGACCAAAGATTTATCAGAAGATGATCCATTATTGAGTGTTTGATGAATCATGAACAAAAGTACTATAAAATAAGTTTGTTTCTTTTACTAATATTATTTCAGTTTCTCTAAGTATCTCATTGTTAAATAAACTCCAAGAATTATATTTTTCCTGCCGTGACTGAATTTTTGAAAACAGATAACATTTTATGTCAGAATCCATATAAATACTTAAAAGTATAAGCTTGATTCCTAATTCAAACTTATATTTGAAAGAAAATAACTAATTTTGAGTTTTTCCACTTATTTCAGGTAGTAAAGAATTTAACGATGTTGTATGTGCAAAACAGAAGTATTATTCATATATATTTTTTTTGATTACAGGTAAAGATAATAGTTCCCAACAGCACAGCAGGTCTGATAATAGGGAAGGGAGGTGCTACAGTCAAGGCTATAATGGAGCAGTCAGGGGCTTGGGTGCAGCTTTCCCAGAAACCTGATGGGATCAACTTACAAGAGAGGGTTGTTACTGTAAGCGGAGAACCTGAACAAAACCGAAAAGCTGTTGAACTTATCATCCAGAAGATACAAGAGGATCCACAGAGTGGCAGCTGTCTCAATATCAGTTATGCTAATGTTACAGGTCCAGTGGCCAATTCCAATCCAACGGGATCTCCTTATGCAAACACTGCTGAAGTATTACCAACAGCTGCAGCTGCGGCAGGGCTCTTAGGACATGCAAACCTTGCTGGAGTTGCAGCCTTTCCAGCAGTTTTATCTGGCTTCACAGGCAATGACCTGGTCGCCATCACCTCTGCACTTAACACCTTAGCCAGCTATGGATATAATCTCAATACTTTAGGGTTAGGCCTAAGTCAGGCAGCAGCTACTGGGGCTTTGGCTGCAGCAGCTGCCAGTGCCAATCCAGCAGCAGCAGCAGCCAATTTGTTGGCCACCTATGCGAGTGAAGCCTCAGCCAGTGGCAGTACAGCTGGTGGTACGGCGGGGACATTTGCATTAGGTAGCCTGGCTGCTGCTACTGCTGCAACCAATGGATATTTTGGAGCTGCTTCTCCTCTAGCTGCCAGCGCCATTCTAGGAACAGAGAAATCCACAGATGGCTCAAAGGATGTAGTTGAAATAGCAGTGCCAGAAAACTTAGTTGGTGCAATACTTGGAAAAGGAGGGAAAACGTTAGTAGAATACCAAGAGTTGACTGGTGCAAGGATACAGATCTCCAAAAAAGGAGAATTCGTTCCTGGCACAAGGAATCGGAAGGTAACTATTACTGGAACACCAGCTGCAACCCAGGCCGCACAGTATTTAATAACACAACGGATCACGTATGAGCAAGGAGTTCGGGCTGCCAATCCACAGAAAGTGGGTTGATCATGCTAAACATGAGATTGTTTTAAACCCCTCCTTACCTTATTTTCAAGAAGGATGTACTGTACTTTGCAGAAGTGAAGTTTTTTTTTCTGTTATTAATATATAATTATGCAAATGAATGCGACTATGTTGACAATGTGTATATGTAAATATAATGTGTTTTACCAGATGTTTCATAGAAAAAAAATTTCTTGACCTGTTTTGTTCTCTATACTTTGCTTGTGTATATTTGTCAGAGGTGTTTCTAGTGTAAGATTTAAGCCTGCCATTTTACCAGCATTATTGTAGTTTAATGATTGAATGTAGAGAGGGAAATGCGTAAAGTTTTCAGTATTAGTTCTAGCTAACACTAAATTAACTACTGTTAGGTTGGGTATGGTGGGGTCAGTGACCTAAAACGGAGTGAGGCCAAAGCACTGTCATGTCAGTCTTACTTCCTGCTTAGGGCACAGTGAAGTAGGAAACAATATTTTGAAACTAAGTTTTAAAATTTAAAATTATCAAAAAGCAATATAGTTGCATAAAAGCACTGTAAAATATTTAAAAGGTTAAAACTGTGGAAAATTATATTGGTAAGTTTACAGATCAATAAAAAGCACCTGTTCTCCATCTGAACTAGACAATGGAAATAATGCTGCATGCTGGCCATGGCCCATTCTTCACCATTTGTAAGTTCAACAAAAGTTCTCACATGGAGTCCCACCTCTAACGGAGGTTTGTACATTTGTTTTTAAGCACTGAAATCACTACTGATCCCATTGCCTGGCCAGTAGAACAGTCATTACTCCATTAACATCCTCACTGTTTAGACACATAACTGTGGTACAGTGTATTGGAAATTTTATAAACAAAAAAGTGGAAGTGCCAACAAATTATTGATAGCTGATAATGTTTCATTATCTGCAACTGCTTGAGAAGTATGTTGCATTTTAAGAGCTTATAATTGTGTATAATTTGTTAACACTAGAAACCTATTAGTATTGTGAATGTAGATTTTACTGTGAAGCTATCTGTGATTTAGCTGTTTTGCTCCCATGATGGAGTCTTTGCAGCATGGCGCTAGCAGCCAATGCAGTTTCTGATACTCAGTAATTTGCATGTTTTGTGGAACATTTTTATGTCACCAATCAGACAGTATTTCCTGCATGCTTATTTAGAAGAGGCAGTTTATCTTGAGAGGTAGTGTGGCCTACCATTGTCAGGCTTTTTGACAGGTCATTTCAGACTAAGCCTTTGTTTCCAAGACCCTACAACTGTCACCCTCTTCTGTACCTCTCCTGAGTGCCAACTGCCCAGGCCATTGACCCACCATCTGTTAACCTCTGAGTTTGCCCACTCAAGGCCACTCATAGGGGCATCCATAACCAAGCACGTCCTCATGCTGTGCATGCAGTCTTAAATTCAATGGACAAAAATAAAATGCTGGCTACCTCTGGATCATCTGGCTGAGCAACTGAATTTCAAAAGAGAATTACTTCCATCTCAACTTCAACCCATTGATTACGTCCATCCTAGCAAGCTAAATGGCATCCCAGCTGCTCCTTTCTGTGCAACCAATTAAAGAACAATGAGTGTGATGCTCCATGTCTGAATTTCGTCCAGCCTCTCTCTGAACTGTGATCTTTGTCCTCATGAACTTTCCCTTTTGTTCATTGAACTATATGGACTCTTCATTTCATATTGATTTACTGTGCAATTTACTTTTGGACATTGAGAACTTGAAATAATTCCCTGATCCTTTCCTTCCCCATCCCCCCACTCCTTCACTATTAATAACTCATTTCTGTCAAACTGTAAGAGTAGAGTCATTTTTATTTTCTTTTTAGTTTTTAACATAGGATTGTTATTTCATTTAGTTCTCGGTCTCTAAATATTTATTTAGAGAATTATTAAAAAGGGAATGATATGCTTGTTTAAAATGAAAGAGAAAAGCTGTAGTAAACTGTGTTACTTGGTAATGACTATTTATCGTCGATACTCTGTAGCTGTGTAAGTTTTGACAAATAGTGTATCTCGTGAAATCAGTGGTTAGCATTGCCGCTATTATATTTACTCATTTTATCATTATAAATGTGCTTAGTTCATCATGTAGCATCACTTGTCTCCCGTCTCATTTTTTCCTTGCATGTCACAAGTCTCAGACCATTTATAATACATTAACAGTGAATAATATCTATGTAAATTTATTTGTCCATGCTGTCTCAGAGTCAGCATGGATGCTGGCAAGGCAACTATTGGGGCCCTATCCTAGATTAAACTGGTAAAGGGGATGAAAAATAAAATGTATTAGGATGTATATTAGAAGCATTTCAAATGTTGGGTCTTTAAAATGTTTTATTTAGTCTTAGAAGACTTTCAACCTGTTATATCAAAATTCTACTAGTCCACTGTGGAAACCATACATTTCATCTGGAATTAATGTTAAATTGAGATCATAATCTAAAGGGAAAAAAGCACTTTGTGTATTTTTTTAGCCTTTGATGTTGACAAAATGCACATAGTTGAACTTTAAAAATATAATTGACAATCCTGGAGCTTTTGTGGCCCACCATCAACGCATATATTTTATTATATATGTGTTGGTTAAACTCTGTAGCTAAACTGAAATTATTCCATCTTTTAAGAGTGATAGTAATAACAAGGGTTTGCATGCATTATCTGTAAGCCAGCTTCATGCTGTTTAAAAATATATTTTGAAATTTATAGGTCATATAGTATTGATTTGTAAAAAGATTTAACTTATTGCAAAGCAATTAGTATATGGTTTCAAAGCTCATCATGTGTACAGCAAAGGCTGTTCCACTATAGTGATTTAAAATGGAGAAAACTAATGATACAAGGGCCAAACATCTTATAAAATGCACCTATTTATAGATTTGTTTTACTATAGGGAGGCTGGTGAACACACTGAATAAGAATTACCTCAGTTCTGCAGCTTTCTATGTCTTTTTAATGCATTCTGTTTCAGGGTCACTTTCAATCAATATTTCATTTACTTACTGAGATTGAATAGGCGCTCTGAGACACAGTGTGCTGTTTATCATACAGATTGGACACCTCATTCTAGATCCAAGATCTTTTCCTCAACGCTGGGAGCTGTCCTTTCAGCACCACAAATTACTGCTTGAAGTTGCATTGCAGTTTTTTTTTTTAATTTTGTTTTGTTTTGTTTTTCTTTTATCACCTGGAGCTTTTCTTTCAGCACCACAACATTGCACTTAGACTTTTTAAATGGCTGCCTTCCTCTTTGCACTGAAGACCTATTTCGTCTGCACTTCCAGTTATTGCTATTACCTGTAGGACTTTCAATCCTATTCCACCCCCCACCACTTCACCCCTTTCTACAAACAGTTTAAATCTATCTATTTCCGTGGAAGTCATTTTTCTCATTGAATGATCAGAAACAAAGATAAATTCTAACCTTTAACGGCTCATTCCGACTCATTGCTTACAGTAGATCTAAGCTCTTTTTTCTGCTTATTCGACTCCTTCCAGCTTCCCATCACATCTGTAACAAACTTTTAAAATATTGCCACACCACCATGCACAAGCCTACCTGCACAGTAGAGATAGATTATTCCATCACATTCAGATGGTTAACAGAGGTTAGCAAGTCCTGTATTTATATATCTATATATTTATATCGCTTTCTAAGAAAGTGCATATTAATGTTTACTTTAAAGAATGTGTAAATGGTGCTATCAAGAAATCTGATAAATTTTATCCCAGTTTTGTGTACCAGTTCAAATGTATGAGATTTATTTTTCTATTGGAAAAAATAAACAGTCTTGAAGCATTACAATTGGTAGATTTTAGTAATTTAACAGTGAATGTAATCCCTATGTCACAGTTTCATTGGACATTTTCATGATGGGTCATACAAATTACAGCACACATTCTGACAATTATTGCACAGTTTGTAATGAACATTCCCCTTTAAGGTTTTGCCTAATTCAAAGTACCTACAAAATCAAGAACCTAAGAAATCTGAGGCAGACATGCTTGAAGAAAAGCTTTGTTAATACAAAAAAGTATTGTTCACGTACAGTGTCTGATGGTTCTTCAAATGGGCAAAAACAATCTTAACTGAATGCATATGGTGCACATAATTCCATATTTGTGATATACCGCATGTTTTGTTTAATTCTTCATAAGGAGGAAAGTCAGTTTAGCCTTAATTATCTAAAAGTTTTCCTCCTTGGATCTACTTGTTTGCTCCATAGCATTAATATGCATAGTTAGCTGCAGTTGTATGTCAGAGCCATTTATTAAACAATTGGTAAGTATTATCAGCATTTAAAGATCCTCAGCAGAGCATGTAACATTCAGCTCATTCAAAATTCATGGTACTTAAAGTATTAAACATCAAAAATCATACATTACCCAAGTCCGGCCTACATCTTACAAAAATTCAGTGTCATAATATGAGATTACATTAAAATACAGATTAAAATAGTTGAATTAAGCAAAAAAAACAAAAAATCATGTTCCAGAAGTATTGGAATAAGAAGTATTAGTTAATGTCAATATTTTGAAATAGAAAAGTATCCAGCCATGTGTATTTTTTTTTAAAGAAATAGCTTTATATCATACTATTGAAAAGACAGGTGTCCTCCTGTTACAATGGGGATCTCTAGATGATGTTAAATGTTAATGTCTAGACATTTTAATAAATTTAAATGGATCTGAAGCATATATAGCAATCTATTTTGAGAGAATTCTGGAGAAATGCCTATTTGTATTGTTTTATAAATACACACATTTATTTTTTATTTAAATTATATAGAATTTGTAATATGAGTATATAATACCTGTTTTCACTTTTCAGTTTTATGGGAGAAACTAACGATTCATTGTAATTCATTTATCTGTTTTGGATGCTGGTGCTCCAACATGCACACGGAATACCCTCTTTCAAAATGGCTCCCTTTCCCATTCTGTGAATTAGGAAAACAAATCTTGGATGCATATTTTGTAGCCTCTAGACATGCTAATGTAATTAAAGGGGAAGGTCATGTAGGAAAGTGCCTACAATTTTTTTAGGATTTATATGAGCCAAGAATCACAGTACCTCTCTCATAAAAATGAATATTGAAATATGGTATATGTTCATATCTGCTTAGAGGAATCGAAATATGTATTATTCTTCAACATTGCAATTGAAAAGTGATTGCTCTGGAATACAGAATGAGGAAGTATTCTAATTCATTTGAAACCTAGGGTAACAGAAAAAAATATGCTCACATTTTCTATCACATGTTTACCCATTGCTGAAAATAGTAATTAGGATAAATTATTTAGATATTATAACAATAAATCATATTGCACATGATTTGTTAACTTGATGCAAAAGTCTGCAGTGACAAGTAACCAGAAGGTAACAAACCATTCAAAACAAAGCAAGTACTGTAAATTAAAATTACACTCAGTGTCAAGAGGGCATTGTGCAATATAAACCCTGTTTGTAGTAAAATATTAATATAAAGGAGTCTTGCTATTTTTCTATATCATGATACTAATAATCATTGTATTTCTTCTTTAACATGCAATGTTGAAGTGTTGCAATTTTAAACCATGTCTATGTTATGAAATGCAACTAAGGTTAATATTTGCCATTTGCTTGAGAAGAAAAAAAAAATAAATGTGTATGATGGTAGCAGGACCTTGTGGCACTTTTAAACAGTGATCATTTGTATGAAACTACATATTAAAATCTTTAATACTGATGTTGCTTGTATTAACTGTTCTCTTTTTTTTCTTTTCTTTTTTTCCTTTTTTTGCACAGGAAAAAGCATTCTAAGTAATCTAATGGTTGCTATTCTAAATGAGCAGGCCTAGTCTTACAAAGATGCACAGATGTCATGAAATCTCCTGCTCAGTATATAACTGAACAGATATATCATATTTATAAGTTCCCAAAGAGATTTTGCATAGTCAGCAGTTATAAAGAATAGGCTTTCCTGAGATCCTGTAACACCAGGCATGTAATTATATAAGTGACAAAGACTATATTGCATCTTACATGCTCAGAGTTCCTTATCTGCTTTAATAAGAACTTATTTACAATTCACTGTAGTTTTTAGTTCTTTTTAAAGTTAACTATAAACAATATTTATATTAATACCTCCATGCAATTAAGGCAGTGAAAACGTGTGATATATTAGAAAATGCAAATGCCTGACAGAATTTGAACATAAGAATTTTTCTTGACCATTTTCTGTACTGTCACTTTATGTTATACAACTCTTGGCAGATGTAAGTAAGCAGATTCAAATCACTGGAAGTGATATCCACTCAAAGACCATTTGTTGTTATTTAACAGAATTAATGCTTCTTCACATTAATTATGCTTCACATAAGGAGCATCCTCTGTTATTCTGAAGCAAATATTCAACATGCAGTACAACATTACTACATGTATAAATGAAACAATCCCTGTGCAAAGTCCTTTAGATTGGGAACCAGATGTATTATATACCCATTAATATTAAGAGATCTAAAACTACAAGGATAGTAACACAAAGGTAACTGTGGCAGCTAAAATTATTTTTAAATGAAAAATTAAGAAATGTAGGGTGCAGTCTTCTTTCTCCTAGCAGTCCCTGCAGCTCCTAAAAATTCTCATTCTGTAAAATGTTGAAATAAACACTTGTTGAATAAAGTGAGAAAAAAGGAAAAAAGATCTTGAAATTCAGAGAAGAGATAACAAGTGGAACATTGTTCAAGAACAGTGTCTCCTTCTTCTTCTCCAGTGCTATGCCATTCAGAAGTTTCCCATACCAGTGTTTAACTTTGGCAGAAGGTTCTGGAACTGCTGGTAGAAGGAATGGAGAAAGTAGCTTCAATGAAATTATTTCTATAGTGTGATGCCAAGACTTAACAGCATCAGGCATCACAAGGCATACATTCTAAATTCACCTTAATGAAAAGTTGTATGCAATCACTTCTTAGGTGGCATATGGTTTATGATTTCATCCATGCCAAACTGTATTTTATCTTATAAACATGATTCCTCTTGGTTTCCATTCACAGGCAAAAAGCTTTAATCGTTAAAGTATTTGTTTCTGAATGACCCATTTCAAGATGGACTTGTCTGAAAGTAAATGCCTTAAGAGGTGTTTTTTCTGTTGTTGTTGTTTTCCTGATTGTTTTGTTTTTTGTTTTTCAATGCCTTCAAATCATTCTTAATTCCTATCAGCTGGCTGGACAAGTCCATATAATTTTCTTAGCAACATTTTTTGGAAGTGGTTTGCCATTGCCTTCTTCATAAAGCTGAGAGAGAGCAAGTGGCCCAAAGTTGCCCAGCTGGCTTCATCCTAAAGCAGGATTAGGACTCACAGTCTTCCAGCTTCTAGCCTGCCACCTTAAACCACTACACCAAACTGGCTTTCTTAAGAGCGTTAGCTGAGTTTATAATAATAATAATGGCGTATAGTGA